AAAGTCTCTAGTGGTTGAAACTGTCTTGGTTAACTTTAACACACTTAAGCTTATAAGCAAATTTACATAGCATATCTATAGTAAGTTATAGATAATAAAAAGCTTTTCCCTGTATGAGTGCCTACTGTGTACTAGTGAGTTTAAAATAGACACACTTCAAAATTTTGCTTTTGAAATTTGAGCATTTGTCATGAGCTAGACATGTGGTATCAGTAAGTTTGTCTTCCTTTGAAAATTAGCAGAACAGTGTCTAAATCTCAAACTGAGATTGAACATACAAGGATGTGAATGTTTTCTTAACTTCAAGAGGATAGTGTGTAAGAATAAGCTTTGAGGTGTACCTGGAAGCCCTCGGCTCCTTTCATTGGTCAGTGTCTGAATAAGTTAGGGGCTTCTATTTCTATGATAAAACACCACTAGCAATAAACCCTTTGGGAGGAAAGGGTTTATTTTAGCTTACAGTTTCATAGCACAACTGAGAGAAGTCTCAGAGTAGGAACTTGGAGGCAGAAGCTGATGCAGAAGCCATGGAGGAATGCTGGTTGCTTACTAGCTTGCTCAGATTGCTTTATAGCATATGGGACCACCAGCCCAGGGGTGGTACCAGCTGGGCCTGCTTCCATTAAGAACTGCCCCAGGCTTTCCCACAAGCCAATCTAGTGGGGGCATTTTATAGAACGAGGTTTCTTCTTTGACGTAACTCTGGGTTGTGTAAAGTTGACAAAAAAACTAGCAAGCACGGTCAGATTCAAGGGACAGACTATTGATTGAGGTTGTTTGAATCCAGTGGAGTAAGCGTTTCTCAGACCTTAGCCATGCATAATACTTGACTACATGGGCTGGAGAGAGCTCAAGAGCATTTATTGCTCTTACAGAGGACCAGAGTTCAATTCCCAGCACCCACATGTGGCTCACAATTGTCAGTAACTTGTTCTAGGAGATCCGACATCCTCTTCTGAACTCTGCAAGCATGCTTGTGGTGCACATATATGCAGGCAAAACACTTATACGCATACTATAAATAATTTTTTTTTTAAGAATTAGCTACAGAGTTTTTTAAATTCAGGTGGCTTCACCTTCTGCTCATATGTATTTAATCAATTCTGGAATGGGTCCCAAATCTAATTTTTAATAAGGACATCCAAATAATTTCTGCTAAGACCTCCTGGCCACACTTTGAGAATTTTGTTGAGGTTCTAGCATTCCGTTGCTGGAAAGTACAGAATTTTGCTAAGTGCTTGTGTCTGTTGTGGAAAATGGTATTGTCAAGCAGATATGATGATACATGCCTATAACCTCAGCACTTCTGAGACAGAACGCAGGATTGCTGCTAGTTTGAGGCCATCCTGGACTACAAAGCAAGTTCCATACTAGTTGTGGGGGTACATATCAGAGACCATGTCTCTCAGAAAGAGTGAGGTGGGAAAGGATGCTGTTGTCGTGGTTGTTAGCATTGTGTAGTTGTTGGGTGAGTGCTTTTTGTGCTTTCCGAGTTCTTTTACGTGGGTCATCTCGTAATTACCACACCACATCGTGATAGGTAGGCGCAGTTCAGGCTTGAGGAGATGGCTCACTGGATAAAACACTTGCCACACCAGCAGAAGGACCAGGGTTTGGATATAGAGAGCTCGGTGGGAATGGTGAGAACTAGAGGTGGGATCTCACGGGGGTGTGTATAGTCAAATACTTATGTGACAGGTACAAGGCCTTGGATTCAATCCCTAGTAGTGTAAGAAGTGGGGGAAGGGCCTGGCATGGTGGTGCCTGCTTGTAATCCCAGGCTAAGGCTGGTGGATCACAAATTCAAGGTTAACCTGAATTTATTTGAATACCCAGCGAGAAAGAGGAGTCATGATCAATGAGCAGAGTGATTTGTTTCTGGCCATTTTTCTGTTATTCTTGGTATGGTATTAAGTGTGTTCATTTTGTTGTTGCCTTAATGTTTGTTACTTATTTATTTGTTCTTTTAGATCAGAGAATGAATCTGTGTGTGTCCATGTTGAAACAAGGTCTCATGTAGCCCAAGCTGGGGAGTTGTTTGTTTTTGTACAAGGTCTCACTGTATAGCCTGGCTAGCCTGGAGCTCTGTATCCAGACTGGCCTCTTGGCAGTCCTCTTGCCTCTTCCTGAATACTGACTGGAACTACAGAGATGGGCACGCCTGGCTTTCAATACTAACATGAGATTGGAAGCAATTCTCAGCCTCTCAAGTGGGCATGAGCCTCCATACTCCAGCTGACCTTAAGATTTCTATAGCTCTAACTAGAGTGTAGGAGAAATTTTTAAAATAACTTAAAATGACATGACTTGCTAGTGAAAAGCTTGAACCATTTAAAGTGTACAATTTTATTTTTGTCATATGTACAGAGTTGTATCGTCATTACCATAATTCAGTTTTAGGATATTTTTGTCAATGCTCCACAAAGATACCTTGAACCCATTAGCAGTCATTCTCTATTTCCTTGCTAGTTCCAGAAAACGAGCAATTTTATTTTCTATATGTGTGTAGTTGCCTATTAGGAAATTGTTGATCAGGGGCTTGGATGAAATAGCTTGGTGGTAGTGTTTGCTTGGCATCTGGGCGTCCTAGGGTTTGATCTACAGCACCCGAAAGAGATCATTAACCATTTGTGATTGGTATGCAGGTGATAGCTATAACTTGCACTTCCCAATGAAGACATGTGTTAATGTTTGACTCTCCCTTGACCTTCACTTGTCTACACTCTGCCCCATCCATCGTACCACTGTTAGCAACGTTTAAAGTAATGACAACTGGCAGAAATTCCATCAGACTACAAACTAAGGAGGATGATTAGAGTGTATTGCTTCAACCAAGAAAACATGGGAAAAATAGCGGGTATCAGATTAATAAATGTGCTTGAGTGGTGTACAGGCTTTATGCTGATGATCACAACTGATGAGAATTCTAGAGTACAGTAGACATGTTAGGCCCAGAATAAACTGTTCACAACTCTCTGCCCTTCTACCCCTCCCTCTTGCTCTAACATTCTTTTGGGATGTTCTCCGAGCCTTGCAGAATGAGATATAGAAATCCCACTTAAGGCTCATCTTTCAACAGTTCTGTTCTTCTCAGCACTTTGACCAGTTAGAGTCTCTATAGTAAGCACATGACCTACTGCCAGAAGAATCCCCGTAGCCACAGCTAACAGCAGCGCTGGTACATGGTCACAAACACAAATAGCTGGAAGGCATTAGATAGGCACACAATCTCTAGTCTCCAGCTGTATAATAGTGGAAGCTTCCCCACTGGGCCTGTTCGTTCCCCAGCTAGACTCTTAGCCAAGCTTACAGTTCCAGATGTGAATTCCTTTCTGTGGAGCTAACTTCAAATCCAGTCCGAAAGTGCGTGCTAGCCCCCAACAGACCTGCCGCTATGGACCTCGTTTTCATGCAAGTGTATATTGTATGTTTAATGATCTTTTACTGTGACTTACTAAGATTTTAAGGGAGCACATTTGATATAACTGAATATGGACTCTGTTAGTAAAGGTCTGAAATTAGAATCAGCTGATTTGAGGTTTTACATTTGAAATCCCTTCAGTTCTGAGGATGACCTTAAAGGGATAATAGTATGGAGTATCTGAGATCATTAATTAAAATAAACAACTTTATTTTTTTAAAAAAAAGGGAAGAAAGAAAAAAGAAATAGCAGCTGGGCTGCGGTAGTGCACACCTTTAAACCCAGCCAGGAGGCAGAGACAGGGCTACAAAGAGAAACCTTGTCTCAAAAAACAAAACAAAACAAAATGAGCATAGCACATTATATAGTAAACTGTATTTTCTAGGAAAATCTTCATATTCTTGAGTTAACTGATGTTTAAAATAAATGATATCTATTGGCAGCAGAACAGCATATTAGAGCAAAATTGTAAAGAAGAAATAGCACTAAAACCCTTAGGTAATTTCCTAGAGACTGGTATTTAGTGTTGTGTTTGGTCTTTTGAGGCAGGATCTCATCTCACCCTGTAGCTTAGGCTGGCCTCACACTTTGCCTCAGGCTCCTGAGCGTTAGGGTTACAGGCTTGGCCAACAATTTGGACACGGATTTTAGTTTTCAGAAAGCCTTTTCTCTCCTTTTGAGTGTTTTTTAACACATTGTTCCTATTGGTGTTAACAGAGAAACTAAGCCAGGTTAGGCTTTTAAGTATTTACTCCACTGTTTGCGGAGACAAAGGCTTGCTGTACATAGCCAGGTTGGCCCCATATTGTTTCAGAGAAGAATTTGTTTACAGACATCAAAATGTGAAAAAACTTACAGTCATTGGCCGGGCGGTGGTGGCGCACGCCTTTAATCCCAGCACTCGGGAGGCAGAGCCAGGCGGATCGCTGTGAGTTCAAGGCCAGCCTGGGCTACCAAGTGAGTTCCAGGAAAGGCGCAAAGCTACACAGAGAAACCCTGTCTTGAAAAACCAAAAAAAAAAAAAAACTTGCGGTCATGATTTCCAGTTCTCACAATGAGAAATTAAGTGATAACATTTGAGTTATTGGAGAGAAATTTTATTTATATACAGTATAGCACAGGACAGTTAAAGTAATTTTTCTTGAACAGATTAATCGTGTGTTGATACTACTCTTGTAATACTAAACTAGGCAAAAATATGATTCCTTTCCAATGAGGGACAAATAATTGAAGTGCAGTTTGGTGGGAAGGGAGTTGGGAGCTAATGATAAGAGGCCTTTCTGAAGTGTTATAAGAGGGCTGATGGAGTCATTTCTTCCATTACAAAGCTAGTCCAAGATTGAAGAATTTGTCCAAGGTCGGGAAGTGATGCAGATGGCTACAGAGTTGAGTTATGCTAGTGAGAGTAGTTATTAAGTGGCTGTACAGGGGGAAAGGGCTTATTACTCTTTTGAGCAGTGTGTTTAATCACTGTTTGTCTTGTGTCTAGAGAAAAAGTTTCCCTAGACAAAATATTTAAATGTTATAATATTAAGTGATAATGTTTTTGCATTGACTCTCCCTTTTCTTGTTTTGTTAGGTGGTATGGACAAGAAAAAGACTATAATGTGCTAGTCATGGATCTTCTGGGGCCCAGCCTTGAAGATCTCTTCAATTTCTGTTCAAGAAGGTTCACTATGAAGACTGTACTTATGTTAGCCGACCAGGTATGTAAACGTTTGACAAAAATAAAAAACAGAGAAAGGTTATTTATACAATGGCAACATTTCATAGACCAGAGTATTATAACCCCACGTGTCACTATTTCTCTTCAAAAAACATAAAAGGATTGTTTGTTGTCTTACAGTAGTAAGGTATGCTTTATAAATGTGTTCCTCTGGAAATAACTATTACATACAGCATTCTGTTTTTACTGTGTGTGGTGGCACAGACTCTTAGAATCTCAGCGTTTGGGAGGCTGAAGAGGGGTTACCAATGCAGGGCCAGCCTGTGCTTTATACAAGATCGTGTCTCAGATGAAGAAAGAACAACAGCAAAGAACTTTGGTTTTTTTAAAAAATAAGGTACCAGGGTAACTAAAGATGAAGTTTTAGCCAAATTGATGCTTAAAGTAATAAAGTTGGAAGCACCAATAGCATTGAAGCAACAGCAGGACATTTTAGAAATGCCTAAGTTTGCCTTTTTCTTTTGTTTGCCTTTTTTTTTTTTTTTTTAATGGTCCAGCCTGGCTTCAAACTCTCTAGGTTTACCACTGGGAAAATAAAGTAGAATAAATAGTCCCTTCTAGGAGCTTGAAGTCAAAAAGAGAAAGATACAAAAATAGCTAGTCAAGGTTCTGTGGTAACATGAGAAAGAAATTTGTTAAGGACTATAAGGCTTTTTTTGCAATATAGTCCTTAGCAATTATTCTTTCTCACTTTGTAGAGCAGGCTGGTCTTGAACCCATAGAGATCCACCTGCCTTTGCCTCCTGAGTGCTGGGCTTAAAGGTGAGTGCCACCACATCTAGCAACGCAGGTTTTTAGTCATTCACACTAGTAGAACAGGCCAAAGCCACCAAAGCTTGGGGCCTGGTGGCCAGCAAGCTGGAAATAAATAAAGGGCTTTATTGTTTTTTCATTTGTTGTTTTTCTAGTGCTGTCATTATAGATCATACATAATTGAAATACTGGAGTACTTGAGAAGTTATGAGTTGCTTTCTATTATCACTTATTATTTTTACCCTTTTTCTTTTTCAGATGATCAGTAGAATTGAATATGTGCATACAAAGAATTTTATACACAGAGACATTAAGCCAGATAACTTCCTAATGGGTATTGGGCGTCACTGTAATAAGGTTAGTTCAATGCTCTTTGCATGAAAGAACAGAGAATAGAATATTGATACGAATTGCTTTGATAAACTTTGAATCTTTGAAAAGCCATAGTAAATCGAATTTCCTGTAATCTGCTTAAGAGATTGTGCCAGAAGGATAATCAGCTAACTCTATTAACTTAGCAACTGAAATATATTCTCTCCAACTTATCCAACCGAGGTTAGTTTATTTATGTGAAAATATATAATTCCAAGGGCTTTTTAATGAGCTTTAATCATCTATTTTTAACTTGGACAATTGTAGTTTTCATTCACTTAAATAGTGAAAACATGTCCCTATAATCCTTCCGGAATGGTGACTCTATAAAGTGTGGGTTTTGGAATACATGTGCTTGTACCAGTATGGCAACCACTGACCTATCTGTCACTATGGCATTAACCCTTGCTGCCTGAGCATGGTTAATATTGAGAATTCTTAAGTCCTTGGATTGGTGTATTTAAAAGAATAACTTTTGGGCCTGTTTCAAAAGTAGCTTACAGTTTATTACTTGGGTGAGTTCTCCACCCCTCCTCCATGCTATTACAGGAGAGTACTGACCAGTGATTGAACATTCATATAGCAGAGTGAGTGATTATTGGGGGGGGGGGGGGTTCTGACAGTGGGTTCCATATATGGGGTGGTTAGGTTGTAGTGACGCATGATTGCAGTTAGAAACTAATTATATTGAAATTTTGTCTGCAATGCTTAGTTTTATTGAGTGAATTGCTTTCTTTATTCATTCAATGTTGAGCTCGGGCAGACAGGCAGCATTGGCAATGCACGAAGCATGTTCCAATCTGATGATCTCAGAAATTTCTCAACTTCAGGACAACTGGGGCGGGGGGAGCTTTTTTTGTTTTTTTGGAAGGAAACTTCCCATTTGTTAACCAGTTAGGGAATGTGGTGTTTTAGGTCTAGCTGTAAATGTTTACCTTTGTTTGCCTGTATGAATGCCAACTTGGAGCCATTATATTAGACCTGGTGTTGCTTGTTAATGTGAGATTAATGTTGGTCTGACCAAGTTCTAGGAATTAGATTTTTCACAGAATTTCATATATTGAAGGGTTTTTCAGCCATGTAATTTATCTTGCATCCCCAAATTGCATTTAAAGAAATATAGCTTCTCTCTTTGAAGCATCCAGGTTCTTAGTTATTATTCTAAAACCTGGTAGTTGGTTAAAAAAAAAAATTGGTCTTAATTTTTTCTCCTGCAGTTTTGGCAGTTTGACTCTTCTTTTGGCTATTTCCCAGCCCTCTTCTTCCTGTTTTCTTATCCTTAAACGCCCATTATCCCCCCGTGATCCCTGTTCTGCATTGTGACAGAGCAGTAAGTATACGGTTTTTGCCTTCACTTTAAACAGTGGTCTAGATAGTAACACTTCCTGCTCTTTCCCCGCTCCCTTCTTAGGAATAGTTGGTTTAATCCCGTAGATGTCTCGGAAAGTCCATGTTCCTTTTTTAGAATCTGTGTCCTCCGTACAGATAGTAAAATGATTTTGTGGCACTGCTTACCTGGAACAGTTTTCAGTTTTCACAGGACAGAAGTGAAGTGTTTCCTTTAAGATTCAAATAGAAATGTTTCTCTTCAACACTTTAGTGTTTTGTTTCTGTAGTTGGGTTTTTTTTTGGTGTTTTCTGTACTGTAGTTTGAAAGTGCCCATGTGTAAGACTGGCTCCTTCAGTCAGCTTGTACCAGAAGTTTGTATCCACAGGAATCAGGCTTGATGGGGTGGGGGCAGCTTCCGAGTTAAATTTCTTACTTGGAAATTGTTCTGAATTTGATATCTAGGAGTAGCCACTCCAATCTTAGTGAATTTGCTCATCTCTTCCAGTAATTGGCCCTGCATGCTTTAAAAATAAATTTTAAGGTGACTAAATGCCTTCTACCTCTTCCTTACTGAAGATTTTTCCCCCATACATTCTTTTTTGGGGGGAAGGGCAGATTGTGGTGTCAAAGATTTCAGCTCCAAATTCCCCATTTTTTACATAAAAATTACAGAGCCAAATGTCACCATTGCTATCCCTGTTTCAGACAGTGGCACAGTCCTAGTGGCATTAAGACCATAAGTATTCTAGAATTGAATGTTCTTGAGCACACGATTTTTATTTGGAAACTGAGAAGCTCCAGTGCTTGGTGGAAGAAGGATGGCATTTGGCTACCCTGTTCTTTCTCTGATGCCTCGGTGTTGCCTGTCTGCGCCGGCCATTGTTGCAATGTACGCAATACTGTTTGATGCACTGCCACCTCTATTGTCTGTTCAGTGTTTAGAATCTCCAGTGGGGAAGAGGAAAAGAAGCATGACTGTTAGTCCTTCTCAGGACCCATCTTTCTCAGGATTAAACCAGGTCTGAAACTGTCTCCTATTCCAACCTCAACCCCCAATTCATGTGCTTTTCTTTCTTATTGTTTTGTTTTAATTACTTTTATTTAATTCTGGAGAATATAGATCTTGCTCAAGCACCTCTTACGTTGGCATTATTCAGACATACTTGGCAAACATGTAACATTACTAAGATATTTTTGTGGCTTTTGCTTAAAACTTTTAAAGCTTAGAGAAAACCTAAATGAAAATAGGATAATGTCTTTATTTTAGATCGTTGACATTGATATGAGGAAATGCTGTTAGTTTAGTATTGGAACCTTTACTTCAAAATAAACGAGATAGACTAGCTTCAAAATGTATTTGGAGTTGAAGAGTTTAATGCACAGTTAAGTCTCATGTGCTCTAGTGACTGCTCTGCTCTGCTTTCCTTCCTTCCCCAAGAACCTCCCTCAGGTAAGTATAGGTCAGATTTCACAGCTAGTATTTCTCAAACCAGATCATCAGGTTGTCGATTCTTAGCTTCCTCCAAATGGTTGCTCTAGGCCAGGCGACAATGTATTCGTAACAGAATAGTGACAGTTTAAGGAAAAACAAACTGAATGGTCAGTGGCCATTAGTCACAGGAAGATAACTGAATATATGACCTGGTTTAGATTTGAGCAGGCTAAACAAGCCAGTATTTAATCACTTTACATTATCTTTTCCTTCTGGAAACTGAATTTTGTTGGTTTTTGGTTTTAGTTTGAGGCCTGGTCTCCTAACCCTGGTTGGCCTGGAACAGGCTGGCCCCATGCTCAGTCATCCCATTCACCTACCTCTGCCTCCAAGTACTGAGACTAAGGGTATATGCCACCATGCCTGACCCAGCATGAATTTTTATAGACAAAGGAACGTTTACGTTTACTTTAGGATGTGAATTTTGGTGCTTCTGGAACCAACAAGTCTGTAATTTTTGATACTACGTACTCTGAGAAGACAATATTGGCATAAATAACCAAAAATGAAGAAATATGCAATGCTGTGTACTGGCTTAATTCCCTAAATTACTTTTCATTTATTTCCTACATTGCCCCAGTTTTGATTTTGTATTCCGGTGCTTTCACTGCTGTCCAGGGGCAAGTTCCTCCTCCTCAAAAGGTTTCAGATACTCAAGAGTTACTTATCCCAACAAAGAAATGAGTGTGCTGGTGCATGCCTGTAATCCTGCAGGAGGAGGGGGATCACAGCAAATTCCAGGCCAGGACTCGTTAGTTCCATAGGGAGTTCAGGTAACCCAAGGAGCTGCATACTGAGACCTCTCCTCAACAAATAAATAACCCCCAAAAGAGCTTATTGCTGTGACTAAATCTTGGTGGGTAAGAGTGCATGAGTTTCCTCATTATAAGAAGAAACAATTTTTAAAAACTTACTAGCCTCATTTTTACTTATCCAGTCCATCTGTACATTTTGCTTACATTTTGTAGCATAACAACTTGATTATCTAAATGTGTTAATATTTTGTTTATATTATACAAGCTAGTTAGGTTGCAAATAATTGATGCAGGTCCTCAGAAAAATAGTTTGTCCCAATAATGAAAAAAATTGCCTGTGTCTTTGCAGGTGCAATCCTTACACTTAACTGGCACTGACTTTCCTTATTTGTTTTTATCTTCATGGAGTTTCTTGGAGCATTCATGGATTTAGTATTTGGCTTGGGGGTTTTTGGTTTTTTTTGGTTTTTGGTGTTTTGTTTTTTGCTTTTTTACATTTTTGTTTGTTTTTAATACTGTTTCCTCATTTTTGTAGAGGAAATAACTTTTGAGTACTGGGTTTCTTAAATCAAATCTTTGGTTGTTTACACAGTATCTGCTTATTGAGTTGCAAATGGAGATTTTTCTTTGAGTAGCAGCTGTCAGACATAATCCACATTAGCACACTTCCTCTTCTCTTTGAAAACTAAAGGGATTACGTATTCCAAGAAAGCCTCTAAGAGAGTCCATGACCTAGGAATTGTTTTCAGTGCCATGAAGCTATAGTTTGTTATTAGTTTTTCTGTTTTCAGTGTTATTCTGCAAAACTGTGTGCTCATTTACTACTAGTAAACTGGTGCTGGTTTTTATATTAAGAGGAGTGTGCAGTGTGAGCTATATGTATTAAAATACTTTCCCATATACCTAAATAACTTGATTGCTTAGGGAGTTTAATATTCGATTTACAAGGCTTCTGTTATCTATCTCTCACTAGTTAGTAATTTAGTCTTTTATAGTAGACCAAATGAAAGTGTAGGCATAATAGCTGGAAGAAACAGGGTTTGTTTGTTAAAACAGGCTCTCACTGTGTAACCCTGGCTAGCCTTGTACCCTCTTGTAGACCAGGCTGGCTTCGAAAGAAGAGATCTGCCTGCCTTTGTCTCCATAATGCTGGGATTAAAGGCATGTGCCACCACCCTTGGCATCTTAGCATGAATAGATGATTTGTTTACTTGTAACTTGAGTTTTAAAAGATTACGTTAACAGTTTCCTAAGACATCACAGCTTCCATACTGGTAGAAGAGACCCAGTAGTTAACAAAAAGAATAATAAAGTGTAGGTGCAGTTAGAAGAGACACAGTAGTCTCATGTGTTCACATGCACACAGATAGGCCAAGCTTGATAATGTGGGAGATAGGATCTTATTATAGCATAGAATGGTAAGTAGGGTTTTTTTCCTACAAAAGTTAAAACTTCAAATACATTGGTAAACAGGAATCGATTTTGTTACTTTTTCATCAAAAAATAGGTTTTCCTTTTAAAAAATTTAGTTTTGTACATTAAATTTGAATGACTTAGAAAACTGTGCTGTTAGTACTTTATTCCCTGGTTACCACGTAGATTATATAAAAGGAAACATTTTCTTCTAAAATTCTAATGTGGTTTTGGGGTAGCTCATTTAAGCAGATAATTTGTAAGCCACCTTAATTTAAATGCTATGCTTTTAATTTTTTAATTTTTAGATTAACATTTTATATTTTTCAGATACCTTGTGAAACATTGTAATGCATGCTTTTGTTTTTTATTATCTTAAAATGGTTTTTTTTTTTAATATCAGACTTTGAGGATTGTATTATTTAAATAATTAGCTTTTTATTAACATACTGAAGGGAGTGGCCTTTGTGAGAGAGAAGAGTCCCAGAAAGCTTGTGCATAGATTTTGGAACATGCTTGTTTTAACCATAAAAACAGCCTGTCAAATTTCATGTGGTAAACAGCATACTTGACAACTCTGCCTTGGGACATGTATATACTGACTTTGTGAAGACAGGCTGCTATGTGTATAAGAACTGGGCAGATGAAGTTATATAGTAAAGATAGATGACTAGGCATAATTGTGGGGGGTGTTACTTACTGGTGAAGAATAGTAAAGGCTTATTGGGATGTTAAATCTATTATCTGTTCTACTTATATTTCGTTTTGATATTTGAATATACTAATGAGTAAGAGACTGTTTAATTGAACAAGGTTAGAAACCTAATGTCTCCTTGTTTTTCTTTTAAAGTTATTCCTTATTGATTTTGGTTTGGCCAAAAAGTACAGAGACAACAGGACAAGGCAGCACATACCCTACAGAGAAGATAAAAACCTCACTGGCACTGCCCGGTACGCTAGCATCAATGCACATCTTGGTATTGAGCAGAGGTAAGTCTTTTCAAATCTGTAATGGAAGCAAGCTTTGATGGCTTTTCTTGAGTTTGTTTGTATGAAAATTTCTTAGTATCTTAAGGGTGCTTCTTGGCTGAGGACTAAGGAATTGCTTTTATTGTTGTATCTTTTGCTTTTAATAGTGCAGAGAAGCCACCTAAATTAATGGGGCTTTTTATTTTCTTTCCTGAAAGTTGTCTCTGGGGTAGAAAGTTAAATGTCTGGTATGGTTGACACATACCTGCAATCTTAGCTGGCACTAGGAGGCTGAAGCAGGATGAGTGTTAAGAATTCAGGGCCATTCTTGGCTATATAATGAGTCCACATTGTGAGACCCTATCTAAAAAAGGAAGGAATGGGAAAAAAAAAACAAAAGCCTGTTAAACATGGAAGTTGGAAACATAATTAGTATTTTGACATCTCTTTTCAGTTTAACATAGTACCTGCTTTTTAAGTGCTGATCTTAGGCACTTCAGTGTTTTATGACTTGTGCTTATCACTGTGGTTGGCAGTGTGAACCTGGGAGAGTGGATCCTTAAAATGAGGCAGACTAAAGTCTCATGCAATAACCAACTTTATTCAGAGTATCAAACAGCTTATACTCTGAGTCACATGAGTAATTTGTACAATCGCAAGGACAAGCCCCACAAAGCTGCATGTGGCAGAAACATGTTTTTTCCATGGAGGTATATAAACAAAAAACAATAGCCAGTTATAATGAATAATTTGAAGTAAACTCCTATCCCCTACACCTGGGAGGGGCATGAAAACACATTCCAAGAACAATGCCATGTTTTTGAAGAAACTGAGGTCACGAGACTCTTGTTTCCTTGGAGTTTTCTCAAAAGCATTTTGCAACCCCCTCGCATGACTCCATTTGTGGACCATGTTCCAACAACTTGAGTTCCAGAATTTGAGTTCCAGGGGTGATGAGGAGCCATGGGTCACTTTTACAAGGAAAATTCTGTAAGAGAACTGAGCTTAGTGGCTCATGCCTATAATCCCAGCACTTTGGTAGTCTGTGAGAGGATTGCTTTACCTTCAAATTCGAAGTTAGTCTCAGGACACACAAAAATGATGAGATTTGTAATAAACCACAATGCGATTGGTAGACTGTGATCTCTGTGTCTTCCTATTTCAGCACTTGAGTTTTCTTTTTTCTGAGTTCTCTTCAGTTTTTGGTTAGCTTTCCTTCCCTAAAAGAAACAAAGCAAAAAGTGCTGTGTCTTTGGGTTGGAAAGGTCATATGTGGAATGTAGGAAGAAAAATAGTAAATTTCTGAATACTCTGAGATGTGCTATGGTTGCATTCACCCAGGAACAGGTATTTCCTGTCACTGGATATTGTATAAGTGTGTATACACTTGTGAGGTTGGTTTGTTTGAGCCTTTCTAGAGGGGCTTTAGGAGTTGAAAATTAAGGCATCTCTTACTGCTTGTTTTTCATTATTCATTAAGACACCAAATAGTCTTTATCTTCATTGTGAGCATTTTTTCTTATGTGTACTCAGTTTTTATGTTTTCCCATTATCTGCTTCATAAAATACCATTTTCTTTTCTAGTCGCCGAGATGACATGGAATCTTTAGGATATGTTTTGATGTATTTCAATAGAACCAGTCTTCCCTGGCAAGGGCTAAAGGTAAATCAGACTCAAATTACTGGGGAGTGCTTTTGTTTATCTTATTTGAAGGAAAGATATGAGACGGATCATCCCAGAACTTGAGGAGTGGTGTGGGCCCAGTAGAGTCAGAGCAACCTAGGCAGCATAAGGAAGGGACCCTTCTATTGCAGAGGGGAGAGAGGAGAAGAAAGAAAACACCGTGGAAGGTGTCCTTTAAAGTATTTTCCAGATCTGAGGTTCAGCCAAAGTTAATTTGCTTTTGCCTTTAATTTGGGGGAATAAGTTGACCGTTTGAGTAAGAAATTAGTTAAGAGTAATTAATTTAACTAATTAATTAGTTAACCCTGAAGGCTCATGTTCTTTTGTGCTAGTACTCATTGGTGACAACTAGCCTTATCTAGGTTGAAGCACAGGTAGGCTTTGGAAGTTGAGCTGTGCTTTTGAATGTATGTTAATAAATCATTGGTGTAGAATTTAATAGCTATTTTGAACCTTTAAAGGAAAATAGTAAAATGCTCAGTTCTTTTGTGAGTAGCTTTATCCAATATGGACTTGATTCCATGTATTCTCTACTTAGCTCTTACCTACTGACTCTCTAGTACATGTTCTTTCTAGTGAGTTCAACTACTGCACTTTTTTTAAGTATTAAATCCATCTTTGCACTCCTTTTTTTAACAGGCTGCAACAAAGAAACAAAAATATGAAAAGATTAGTGAAAAGAAGATGTCCACTCCTGTTGAAGTTTTGTGTAAGGTAAGGAAGTATACATGATGAGATTTAAAAGTAATTCCCATGGCCAGGTGTGGTTAGTATACATCTTTAATCCCAGAACTTGGGAGGCAGAGGCAGCCTGGTCTAACACAGCAAATTCTAGGCAGCCAGGGCTCGAGTAGTAAATAAAAGTATGGGCTGGAGGGACACACCTCTGGTTAAGAGCATGTGCCATGCCTGGTGTGGTATTGCACTTGTGCCTTTAATCCCAGCATTCCAGACTCAGAGCTGGGGCTGTGTAGAGACATCCTGTCTCAAAAAAAAAACCAAACAAAAATAGTGTTTGCTGCTCTTTCCAGGGGATGCGAGTTCAATTCCCAGCACCCACATTGAATGTAGTTTATAACCTGGTAACTCCAGCTCCAGACACTTTTTTGGCCTTTGTCCTCTCTGGGCACAAAGCATATATGAAGCAGGCACAGTGCACATATATAAATAAGTATAAATCTTTTTAATAATTGGTATAAAGTTCAGTAGGATGGCCCAGTGAGTAGACACCTGCTGCCAAGCCTGATAGCAGCCTGAGTTTGATCCGTGAGATAAGTGGTGGAAGAACCAACTCCCACAAGTTGTTCTCTGTTCTGTGTGCGTGCTATAGCACATATATATCCATACAAAGACATAGTACACACAAAAAGTAAGTCAGAAGTAGTCACGTTAAAAAAAAAAGCAAATCCTACATTAGCAAAAAGACAAAAAAATCAGTTGTCTTTGTTACTGCCCTCAGAAAAAGTTCTGAATTGTGCTATAGAAAAAGATGATTTCTTTCATAATTGTCTTAGGGTTTCTATAAAGCAATTTGGGAAGGTTTATTTCATATTACAGCTCTCAGGCCACACTTCTGTCTCTTGAGGGAAGTCAGCAGGGATATAAGTCTGTAACCTGGAGTAAGGAACTGAAGCAGAAGCTAATAGAAGGCTGCTGCTTATTGGCTTGCTCCCCAGGGCTGGCACCATCCCCAGTTGAGAAGAACCCTCCCACATAAATCATTAGTCAAGAAAATGCCCCATGAGTCAGTCTGGTGGGAGCATTTTCTCGATCGAAGTTCCTTCCCAAATGACTAGCTTTTGACAAGGTAACAAAAGAAACTAACCAGGACAACATTTTGTATACTATAGAGTGAGTACATGGTGAATTTGGCTTAAATTTATGAGAAAACCAGGCTATAGTTGTCTTAATTGTCAAAGCTTCCTACAAAGTACTGAAACAACATTATATGTTTCCTTTTGCTTGTATTTCAAAACTTTTAACTTGGTGTTTTTGCTTTTCACTCTTGTTTTAAATATTGAATTGATAGGGATTTCCTGCAGAATTTGCCATGTACTTAAATTACTGCCGTGGACTGCGCTTTGAGGAAGCTCCGGATTACATGTATCTGAGGCAGCTATTCCGCATCCTTTTCAGGTCAGTTGTTAATCTCGAAGTGGCTGCAGAGGCTGAAAGATGGCCTAAGTGGGGCATACTGCTCTCGGAGACAAGTCAGATTTGGTCCCACCACTCACATTGGGCAACTCATGTGCAGATCCCCCCCCACCCCCGACCCCTGTGTGTGTGTGTGTGTGTGTGTGTGTGTGTGTGTGTGTGTGTGTGTGTGTGTGTGTGTGTGTGTGTGTGTGTGTGTGTGTTTACATGTACATAATTACAGATAATGTTGCCCTGTGCTGGTGATTGCAGCTCCAGAATAACTCCTGAATCCAAGGCTCGGGAGTAACAGGCTATGAGGTTGTATGTCCTAAGAATGTCAGAAGCTGCACCCATCAAATCTCACCAGCATGACTGCTTAAACTAAGGAACGCTGAGAGCAAGAGAAATTATTCTCTTCTCTAGGGAAGAGCATACCAACTGGTTTTATCTGATACTAAGTGGTCAGCCCTGAAAACATACATAATATTACACATAGTGAGCAGGTTGTACTCATGGATGCAAGAGAGAGTTTGTGTGTGTGTGTTGTACAGCAATAATTCGTGAAAAATGGTCCCCCCCCCAATCAAATGAAATCAATAAGGCAGCCGAAATGCTCTCTCAAATAAAGAAAAGGAGGGAGGAAGGGAATGGCCGAGGGGATGGGAACTCTAGGTGTTGCTCCCTCTCTGGCAGCCGCCTGGTCTTTTTTTTTTTTTTTTTTTTAAAGCAAGGACGTGTGTATAGGCATTTTTGGAGGGAAGAAAGGAAGGGAGAAATTATGTAATTACATTAATCTCAAAATAAATAAATTTTACAAGTAAGTGATTTTTAAAAAATCCTTAAACAGTAATTTCAATGGTACAGAACCCTCTTCTGTGCCAAATAAGAAGGCATTAAAAGACAAGTCTGGTGGCACCTGTCTTTAATCCCAGCACTTGGGAGACAGGGGCAGACATGGATCTCTTGAGTTCCAAGCCAACCAGTACTACATAGAGAAACCTTGTCTTGAAATTATGTGCTCCTCCCTCCCCCCAAAAAAGGAAAAATAGAGCCTTAAAATACAGAGTCTGCCAGAGGTCTACCAGAGACTCCAGCATTTCGGAGATAGAGGCAGGAGGATTGGGAGTTCAGGGCCAGCCGCTGTACCACAGCTAGTTCAAGGCTAGACATTATCCTGCCTGTGTTTCAGATTCTTAGAAGAAACTAGCAAGTAATCCATTAGTCCCAGAAATGATGTCCCAAGGTATTAGCACCACCTCGTTCACTGGCTGACAGTTCTCTCCATGCTCCCTAGGAGTTCTGAATGAACCTTTCTAGGTAATTGACAGCTTGAGTCACTGTAGTTGCTAATTCTGTTTTCTTACTCCTAGTATGCCCTTTTGGAGAAATTTGTATTTTGATTTTGTTTGTTTTTTAGACAGGGTCTCACTCTGTAGACCAGGCTGGCCTCGAACTCAGTAGAGCTTTGCCTTACTGAACACTGGGGTTAAAGGCTTGTGTCACTATGCCAGACTCCTTTGGAGACAGTTTAAAAGGCAGTTTCTATTTAAAAAATTACTATATTTTTTTAATCTAGTACATCAGAGTAATTAACATTTTCCTTTCAGTTGTGACATGTGAGAAGTAATTATTTAAAGTTGCTTAGAAGAATCGTAGAAGTTACATGCTTATGAGAAAATACTCTAGAGAGACCCGTCCTGCTGTCTTGAGACGTGAGTAGGCTGTTGCTGGACAGTATTATTAAGAGGTTACCATGCCTTTGCTCTTCCAGGACCCTGAACCACCAGTATGATTACACGTTTGACTGGACGATGCTAAAGCAGAAAGCAGCACAGCAGGCAGCCTCCTCCAGTGGGCAGGGTCAGCAGGCCCAAACCCCCACAGGCAAGCAAACTGACAAAACCAAGAGTAACATGAAAGGTTAGTAGCCAAGAACCAAGTGACGTTCCAGGGAAAAATTCAATACAAATTGGGTAATTCATTCATTTCTAACAGTGTTAGATCAAGGAGGTGGTTTTAAAACAGAAAATTTGGCTTTGTATTTAAAAAAAAAAAAAAAAAAAAGACGTCCTTGGAAAATTTGACTACTAACTTTAAACCCAAATGTCCTTGTTCATATATATGTATATGTACTTGTATATACATATATGTGTGTATATTATATCATTTCTCTTGGGATTTTGGGTCATTTTTAACAACTGCATCTTTTTTACTCATTCATTAACCCTTTTCCAAAATAAACATTTGATGTTGGGAATATGGTATTGCCAATCAATCCAAAATCCTAGACCTAACACTTGTTGATTTTTAATACAGAATCTGGTTAGCCATGGTATTTTGACTGACTTTCAGACTAACAGTGTTAAGATATTTGTATATTTTTTGTTTGCATGTTAATGCTGTAGTGTTTACTGGGAGCTGTGAACGTGATCTAATTGTAAGAGGCGAGTCCTGGCGCTGCCTTCAGCATGTCTTCTGAAGTCACGAATTCTCTCTGCCAGTGAACTATGACAGATCGTAATTTCATGATGATCCTTCAGGAGTGCTTTATTTAAATGCTAAGGAACTTAGGCACTAGAGTTCACTTACTGTGGAATTGAAGTCTGTACTTAGAACTTGTCAGTTGAAGATAACTGAGGCAAGTGCTGATAAACTGCTAGTCTGTCTGTCTCTGTCTCTTTCTGGCACTTTGAGTGCTTCTAAGGAGTAGAACTGTTAGAGCACAACACCTTTCTCTGTTCCTGGTGCCTTAGAGTTCAACTCCTGCTTCCGTGTCACTGTCGCCTTTCCTGGGGCTTACTGCCACTACCTGCCTGCTTTGTGCAAGTGGTGGGCAGGTAAGCTTTGCTGTTTGCTTTTTAAATTTTTATTTCTGAAAGACTGCTCTAGTCTGAATGTGGTTTTCAGATATTAGTATTCTATATTTTTAGTGTTGATTTAAATAATTCTTAAACTTAAAAATAGATTCTAGGCCAGGTGGGGTGGCGAATGCCTTTAATCCCAGCATTTGGGGGGGCAAAGGCAAACAGATCTCTGTGGGTTCCAGGTCTGCCTGGTCTTACAGAGTGAATTCCAGGACAGCCAGGGCTTTTTTAAGAAAGAAAGAAAGAAAAGCTTCTAGTATCTGAGGCACATTTGAAGCAATGGAATGAACTGATGTCATCCTCATCCCAGCAGCTCAGTAAAGTTGGGGGCTTCCTTTCTGTGCTTCTGTATTTGGGAAAGAGGGATTTTAGATGATGAGGCCTGAGCTAAAGAGCATAGTGGATGCTCAGGCTGTTCAGTCTCTGTACCTCAGTTGGGACTTTGATGCCTCATTTGTTTCTTAATATTGTGTAAATAGTCTTGTGTGGAAGTAGGGATCAGGTATTTGTGAGAAGTGGTTTTATTGTTGAGACGAAGGCAAATAGAGCCTCTTAACTAAGATATTAAATAACACCTATAATATATTTGCTTTGGTCATGAAATGAAGCCCTTTTTTTTCTGTTTGCCTAAAGCTCGTTGGGATAATAGGATTCATCACAAATTGCAGCTGCTAAAACTAAGATTGAAATCTCATCTGGCCTAGAACATTTTTCTTCAGGCATTCAGCAGCCTTCAGAAAGAATTATCTTAATTTTGACCTAATTTCATTGTTCTAATATACTATGTGTTTCTTACTCAATAAACAAGCAGAATTTTTGTCCTGCTTTGTCTAGGTATTAAAGATGAGAAGTTGGATCCACTGAGTTAGTATGTTTCCTTGAAAAAAAAAGTGATTAAACTTAAGTTTAAGCCTTCTTCTGTATCGTAACTTTTTCATAAAAGTAACTTAAAATCGTAAAACAGTTGAAAATATCTTTAGACACAGTGGTCGTGCAAATTATTACATGTACATGAACTTGTAAAATAGGGATTTTTCAATAAATAATAACATTGACTGCTTTTAAAGGTACATTTCTAAGGCCAGGTTCAGTGACATGAGTACTTACAGTCTTAGTTACTGGGAGGCTAGGACAAGAGGATCGCTTGAGCTCAGGAGTTAATGGCCAGCTTTGGCAATAGGAAGAGTTCCTTCTTAGAGGGTGGGTGGGTAGAATGGGTTACCAAGAGGTTTTTTTTTTTTTTTTTTTAACCTTTAGCAAAATACTGCTTGCTACTCAAATAAACCAGTCTGGGGCAGGAAAGGTAGCTAGGTTGGTAAATGCTTGCTTTGTGAGAATAGGACCTGAGTTCAATCCCTAGAACCTCTGTTTAAAAAGCGAGCAAGGGCCAGGCATGGTGTGGCACACGCCCTGATTCCCAGCACTTAGACATAGAAGCAAGCAGATTTCTGTGAGTTTGAGGCCAACCTCAACATAGTGAGACTGAAACCGTGTCTCAACAACAGTGCTAGCAAGCTGTAATGTTTGCTTGTAAGCCCAGCCCTAGCTAGCAGCGTGGAGATAGGCAAAACCTTGGGACTTCCTGGCCAGCCGGATTAAGCCTAATCAGTGCACTCCATGTCCCAGAGGAAGACCCCAGCTCCAAAAGGCAAAGACATCAGAGGAACAACCAACAAGATTAACTCCTGACCACCACACACACACAGATGCCCAATAAGCTATGCCACTATACAAAATACAGACAGGAAGGTGGACTTAGACTTCTTACACATCTGTGAAATTAGTGTCCATAACAGAAAGCTCAGAAAATACATCTACCTAAGGGTGGCATGAAATAAGCATGAGGGAGTTAGTCTTAGACCCTCTGCCTCTCACAATATGTAGGTTGTTAGTGATTTCAAACTCTAAGTAATAGAGTGTATAAAACCATAGACTTAGTTTCTGCTATTACAGCTTTTGATTTCATGGAATCTTCCCATAATGGTAACACCATGTTATTTCTCTCTGCTCAAAAATTATAGAAAGTGGCTGGGGGTGGTGGCACATGCTTTTAATCACAGCACGTAGGAGGCAGGAGGGTGTATCTCTATTAGGTTGCGGACTGCCAGGGCTTTATAGTGACCCTCAAAATGTAGAAGATACTCAGAGTATACATTATAACTTTTTTTTTTCCTTTCGGTCATAATCTCAGATGCTTGCATGTCAATGAATTCAGTTTCATAAATCTTCAGCAAGCAGGCCTCCATCATAAAGGTTCTCTTCTGGAAAGATCCTCTAAATGTTTACTGGTATATTTTTTATAGTTTTGGGTTTTGTGGGAGTTTCTGTTTTGGTTTAGTTTTTTGTTTCTTGGCAGTTGCTTTAAGCGTATGTTTCTTTCATAGAAATTACAGAAAGTTCTAGCCCCTCCCTGAGAGTGTTCAAGTGTTCTTCCAAACCTTGCTTATTTAGCTAGTATGTGCTTCTCCTGTAGTAGGTGGATCTCTGGTCTGATAAATTTGCATTTAGGCCTTTCAGTCACTGCTTTGCAAAGCTTGCAAAGCCAATCGAGACCAAGAGACAAGGATTTTCCCTAATGTCGCTTAGATTTTGTTTCCAATGCTGAAGTGCCCCAAGATTGAACTTTTTGCTTCTATTTGTGTAGCAGAGAGAAGATAAAAGCTTCTCGCTCTGAACCCTTGACAATCCATTTTGCTTGGTATTCTACAACTTTATGTGATTCTCAGAAAAATACTTGTTTATGACCTAGAAAGGGCAAAGAAAAAGGAAATAGTTTATGGATATTTAGATTCCGTTAATTCTGCTGTACCCACAAGTAGCTGAGACCGTAGAATGACAAGTCTGAAGGTGGCCTTGGCCTTCAGAGACTTGAAGTGTTTTCCATCACATTAACCAGCCTGTGTCAGTGGTCCCCAGCAGCTACAGGGCTTTGCCATGTGTAGCTTAACCTCTTCTGACATCACCAACTGCTGCCAGGACCACAGCTGATAATTCAGCAACTTAACCCAAAACAGGGAAGGGAAGACCTTGCGATACCTGGAGAGACTGACCTACCTTGAATACACTCTGTCCAGAGAAGACCAGGGAACTGAATCTTCGCTGAAATCTGGGATTTCCATCGGCTTTTTTCATTGTGGACAGTAAAGCTGGAGAGATTGACAATCCAAGAAATGAAGATGACAGTGCAAGAGACCTCTCAAGGCTTGCTGGGCCTGCTAACCTTCTGCTCAGGTTCTGTGATGACTGTCAGAAGGCCTGGAATACTGCCAGTGTTGCTGAGCCTCAGCGCTACGTAATGGCCGCCATCTGCCAGTTGGGATGGATTCCTTTGTAACAGGTATGTTCAACTTAACAGCTATAGCAACTGTTAGAAAATGAAATCTGAGTAGAGAAGACAGTCATCAGATTGTTAGTCTGGTGCTCCAGTTCAAGGATGAGTTGACCTGTTACATACAAATTACCAGTTTGTGATGGAAAATCCTTTCATCTTTCACTTCTTTCATTTATCGAGTAGAGCAGAGTTAACAGGGTTGTTGGTTTAGTAGGATGTAGTGGGTACATACATACTGGCTGCTTAATTCAAAATTCACCTAGCTTAATTTTAACCAGAAGACCATAGAAAAATGTTGGAAAAATTACTTCATATAAGTGACATTGTATGTTGATTATTGAGTTGAAAATAACTTCAAACAGTTTCGTTCTTACACTGTGGAAGGAGCCTAAATTTATAAATGTATAAAGCTTATTACTGCATAAACATCCTTTAACTGCATGGTGGCCCTTAATTATAATCCCATCAGTACAGAGGTATGTAGAGGCAGGAGGAACTGTCTGAAAACATAACTACATCTGTTTAAAATGGATTCTGGCTCTATCTTTTTAAAAAGTTGGGTGTGTTTGAAGTGAATTCATGAGTAAAGATACATTTCTTGTAGGTTTCTTTTTGAGAGGATAATGTATGATTGTTGCATAAAATTAAAATAAGCACTTTTTTTTGTATTTGAAGACTTGAAAAGAAACTGAAATATAGATCGTCACTTCATGCACCTTTGGTGATGGTCTTCCTTCTCCCTCTCCTATAGGAACAGAAGAGGTTCGTCCCTCGTTTTAACGGGTGAACTAGAAGAGCCACCCAGACTGCAGGATTTTCAAACCAAACCAAAGACTAAAGCACACTGCAGAAGAGTCCTTCGGAGTGATGAGAGAGTGAATGTTGGCGACCTACCACAGTGTTTCTCCTTCTGGAGTACCTCAGAGAACAGCTCATTGGAGGATTAGATACCATTGCTCTGTCTAGCTGAAGAACTAAATCTGGATTGGACTGCTTTATTCTACCAGGAATATTGTTAGGCTCATCTTCAACCAATCCCTAGACAATTGTAACCAGAGACTGACCGTCCACAATGAGAGACTTCTGACCTAGAACTTCCCTGTTATTAAAGAAATCAAGTTGTCTTGTATTTGGCTTATAGTTTGTTAGTGACTGGTTTTCCACTTCAGACCTGCTTGTGTGGAGGTGTATTCAGTGTAACAAAGTACTAAAATAGAATCACATAATGGAAGCAAATTATTATAAAGGGAGGGAGACCCTGGTTTTACTAGCTGGGAAATGGTTGTTTTTTACAGTATTTATGAAAAACTTTCATGCTTAAAGCCAAATACTGATGGGATAAAGGTCATTTCTGTTTAGCTAGTTCATAGTTTTCTTAATTTTGATAGCTTCTTAGCCTGTGCAATTGGAATTAGACCCCAGGTGTGGTCAGGTTTATAGATATAATTAAGGTTTGTTTGATAGCCTTACTGTAGCTGGGGAGGTGGCTCAGTAGCCAAGAACACTCAGCACAGAACATGAGGACCAGCATTCAGATCCTCTAAAACCCTGGAGATGGGTGGATATAGTTGTCTGTCTGTAATCCCAGCACCTGAAAGTCAGAGACAGCATCCCCAGAGCAAGCTGGCCAGATTGTGAGCTCCAGGTTCAACAAAAGGCCCTGCACCAGTATATGCCATAGGGAAAGATACCACCTGATTTCACATCTAGCCTGCATACAAGTGTGCCTATACACATATGTACCCACACACAAAAGAGCACATGTGCGTAGCACAGTTTGGTTTTCAGTTTGCCAGTGCTAGCTCCTCATAATCTTTATTTAGTGCTTGCTTTCTGTGCGTTTATGATTATGGAATTGGTGTTTGTTACATACACCAATTCTTAGTTCTTAGTAGATACTGTGGGAAGGGGGGGGGGTGCACATCTTTGCCTTCAAAGCTTAGGTGTATCTGTCAAATACATGAGGATGTCTGGTTTTCCTCCCATATGAAAAGTTCCCAGTTAACTGGTGAAAGAATGCGTATCAAAAAAAAGATGATTATAAATGCTTAATAATAATGTCTTTTCAGTTTTAGTCTTAAAAACATTTGTAATAAAGAGTAAGTAGTAGGAGTATTTTATAAGTCCCACGAAGCCCAAAGGAAATATCCCACCAATGGTTGAAAAGAAAAAAAGGAGCAATTTATTTCTGGCAAAAATGTGATTTTTCTGTAGTGGTGGTGGTTTGTTTTTGATTTTTATTAAAGAAGTTAAATGGTCAGAAATGTAGTTTGATCATCTCAGGTTTGGAAGGGAAAGAGTGGCTCTTGCTTATGGGATGTTCAGGTTATTAAGAGGTGGGTATGTTTATGCTATCTCTAGCCATAAAGACACGCCAATAGAACCAACATCCTTATGCGGAAGCCCTGACTTCCACTTGGGGGTGGGGGACTGTACAGCAGGCTAGGACAGGACAGGGGGTAAAAACGGCTAAAGCATTATTCATTTCTAGTTCACAAGTCAATGAGGAGACCTGATCTACTGAACGCAACAGTGGAGGTAAAGAAGTATGAAGAGGAGTGTGAGGTTTTTGTATACAAATCATAGTTCTTGGAGATACAACACAAAGTTATGCTTGAAATGAATTCATTAACCGTTACTGTTGATATGTAATCTCTGTCAGAAATGATATACACGGTAGTTTGTGCTTCTGATCTAGTTAGAAGCACACTTGAATTGTTTCAGTAATGTTTCTCATTTGCCTGTTGGGTGTCTGAAATAGCTTGTGTTCTGGGTCTGAAAGAACTGGGCATCCTCGTTTGGGTGGCTAGCCACTCTAGCTTAGAGTTGGATGCTGAGGTTGTAACTATGACTTCTGTCTGGGTCATTCAAATGGGGGAAGGGGGCGGGCAGTGGCTTTAATTAGAGTCATGTACTCTCTTTTGAAAGGTTAGACTTGGTGATTTTCAAGATAAAAACCAACAGCCACTAAAACGTGATTATTGTCCTATTTCTACCTAATTTGGGGAGTACTTGTAAAAGTGTTTAAAACTTGTAACATCCTTTTTCTGTTTCATTTTTTGATAGGTTTCTAGGCATGAATTGAGGAAGAGAAGCAGCAGAGCAGATGATTGGAGCAGCATTTGTTTCTCCCCAAACTAGACATTTTAGCTCATATGTACACTAGCCAGTGGTTGTGGACAACCATTTACTTGGTGTAAAGAACTTCATTTCAGTGTAAACTGGCCTAGGCAGCATTGCTGATGCTGGCCCTGAGCTGTAACCGCTGTAATTGTGAATATTAACTGAGGTAGTGAAACATGGTGTCCGGTTTTCTATTGCATTGTTTTTTAAGTGGAAAAGTTTAACTAAATGGTTGACACACGAATTGGTGGAGAAATTGTGCATATGCCAATTTTTTGTTAAAACCTTTTATTTTGAACTATACTGCTTTGAGATCTCATTTCTGGAGAACGGCATGAACAGTCTTCAGCCACAGTTGTGATGGTTGTAAATGTTCACAATTGTGTGTTCTTAGGGTTTTTCATCCCTGGGGTTTGCAAGTTGTTAACTTAAAACATTCTCTAAATGGTTGGCTTCTTGTTTGCAAGCCAGCTGATATGGTAGCAACCAAAGATTCCAGTGTTTGAGCATTTGAAAGACTCTGCCTGCTTACCTGTGCTAGAAATAACAGCATCTAAAGTGAAGACTTAAGAAAAAAACATAGCGACTACTAGATTATCCTTAGGACTCTGCATTAACTCTATAATGTTCTTGCTATTAAAAACGCATATTTGTCACAGAAATTTAGTTACCGTCTTACAACTGAACATGTATGTGTGTTGCTTAGATAAATGTAATCACTGTAAACATCTATATGATCTGGGATTTTGTTTTTATTTTGAAATGGGAGCTTTTTGTTTACAAGTTCATTAAAAACTAAAAACTGTTTCTGTAAGGAAGTGAAATTTTTTTTTAAACGACAAAATGCCTTGCTGACTCAACATGAAGTAAATCTCCCTGATTTTTTTGTTTTGATGTATGATTTGAGACAGGGTCTCATTTTGTAGCTCTGGCTGGCCTAGAACTCACTATATAGACCAGGCTGGCCTAGAACTCTCAGATCCTCCTTCCCCTGCTTCCCTAAAGTCCTGGGACTAAAAATAAGAGCCTCCACGCCCAGCTTCCCTCATTTTTTGATAGACTACTTCAAGCCATTTGTTATATTCCTTTGCTGTGAAAGGTTTTTGCTTTGTTTTTTTGTTTTTGTCTTGATCTGAAGAGAAAGGAATTCTTTCACTTTCTTTTAAATGACTCACAGGCACATTACCAGTTCTGCATCTGCCGTAACTGTGGCATTGACTCTTGCGGCCACTGTGGCCAGCAGATGGACTGATTCTGAATCAGAGTGATGAAAGTGTTCAAGGCTTTAGTAACCATGTTAGAAAACCTTTTTCTTAGAAACCTTTGTGAAATGGCTGTACGAGTGTCACAGAGTGCAGTTAGAGATGCTGACCCTCTAGGCCCGCTTCCTCCCAGGCTCTCCTGGCCGCTTTTCTTTTTTCTTTGATGATTCAAGCAAAGGGGGAACTTAATTGACAATAATTCTTTAAATGGTGTAATTTATTCATTTACAGCATGTCAGGATAAATGAAAAGATCATTTGTCTGAAAATGCTGCCAGGAGCCTATTGTGTAACTGTAGGTATTTTGTAAAATAATCTTGAATTGTAAATTGGCACGTGTTTGGTAAGAGTGTCAGGGTTGATTTGTGGTTTTCCTTTTTTTTTTTTTTTTTTTAATTTGAACAGCAATAATTTAATTCCATGATGGCCACATTCTGTCATCAAGTTGTGTTAGTATCAGAAGGCTGAAGAAGTCGCAGTGAGGTGGCGCTGGTGGGTGGCAGCCTCTTTCTTTTCTAGCCATGCTTGTCAGTTAAGGTATTTGTTTCTTGACTAATAAACCCTTTGATACTTTCAGCCAGAAATCAGTCTCATAAAGCTATTTTTGAGTATAGTTTGTGTAAGATAAAACTGTTCAGCGTTGGTCATAACTCTCCAGGCTGAACACCCTCTCTAGCAAGATATTTTTCAGTGCTTTTATTTACTATGCACTTAGACTATGCACTTTTTCTGAAATATTTTTGTAACACTTTTTTGTATTTTTGCCATTTGAAAAGGTTGTGGTGTCATTGGTCTGTCATTAAGTTGCAGGTTTCAAACTGCTGTTAGCTTTGTGAATCAGAATATAGAAATGTTTTTGTTCTGGTGTACTTCCGTCCCATCTGCAGCTGGAGCTGGAATCCTATTGATCCTCTAGCTGCCATTCATTTTCTTCACAGTTCACAAAGAAGAGCGTGAAATTCAGTGAATGCTGTTACTAATCCTGTCTGGAAATGAATCTCATTTCACCAAAATTAATTATGTTTTTCCACTAAAATGATGGTCTACGTTGAAGACACATCACTTTGAAGTTGGAAGACCTCGCCACTAAAGGCTCCACAGTGGCTGACTCAGCTGAACTCTAGGTTGCCACTCTTTTCTTTACTCACTCCACTGGGTGATGCAGCTTTTTGAAATGTTGGGAGATGGCCATTCTAACTACTGTTGAATGTCAATGTTTTGGGAAGGTACAATAAGAAAATAAAGAAGAATATATATGAAGGGGGAGGCTGGTTGTCTCCCATATGGCTGTGCTGCATATGCTCTTAGAACCCACAAGTGGACATAGGTTTGCCTTTGCTGTGATTTCCTCTCTGCTTTAAGTCTATCGTATTGTAAATATTTCAGAGTGTACTGTAACAGGACATGAATTGTTATAAATCATGAACCATGGAGATGGTGTAGTTTAAGCCAGTAGGCTGTTTTCCCTGAAAATTGCTGGGATAATAAAGAATAGTTTATTGTAACTCAACTAGAATGAGCCATGAGGATTGCAAAAAGGGCTGTTGAAGCATCTTTAGCTCACTTGAAGATTTTGCAGCATCCGATATAGGTATGCTGGGAGTGGCCCTCTTCCAACTAGTCTTTGATTTCTTTTTTTGAGTTGTTTGTTTGGGAGGGGTGTTTTTGTTTTGTTTTATTTTTGGTCTTTCTGAGCCAACCTGGTTTGTGAGGTGATGACCAAGATGTGAGGATGTCTGTAAGACGTAGCAAAGATCAGAAATAGGATCAAGATGTGCTGTCTCGTGTGTGTGTGTGTGTGTGTGTGTGTGTGTGTGTGTGTGTGTGTGTGTGTGTGTGTGTCTCGGCAGCTGGGCGGGGCGGGGGGTATTTCCAGGGCTCACAGTGCTATCCCCGGCCTGTTTGTTGCCTTAAAGTGCCACTGATCCGTAGTAACTTCATTGTGTTGTTAGAGCACGTTGAGACACTTCAGTAGTGCCCAAATACTTCGTTCTTCCCTATTGGAACCATGTCAAGTATAGTTAGTATATGTTTCAGTGGTGAAAATTGTTTGATTAGCAGCAAATGGAACCTGGAGCCTTGTGCCTGCCAGGCAAGCATTCCACCACTACCATTTACTATATATACTTCAGAATCAGGCAAAGACCAAATAGGAGCTGGTCTGCAAGTTTTCAGAATACTCAAAAGTGAAAAATGAAAATGTTGGGCAGTCTAGGCCTAAGCAAAGGTGGCACACACCTTTGAATCCCAGCACTCAAGGAGGTGGGCAGATCTCTGGAAGTTGCAGGCCAGCCAGGGCTACATGGAGAGACCATGGCTCTTGGCAGTATCTGATTTTAGCACTGACTGAAAAAGAGAGAAGGGGATTTTGTACCCTCTCTGGTGCCAGAAAGGAGATCTCAAAGTGCAGCTGTCAGAAACACAAGGCCCACTTGAATGTTTAGGAATGGCAGGGTCTGTGCCAGTTAACAGCAAATACTAATGGTGAGTCATTGAGCAAAAGTCTGACCATCTTTCAGAAATGGGAGAAAAGTTCTCTCTGGGATGTTAACAAATAAAAGGCCAGGTGTGGAGCGTGTGCCTTTAGTCCCACCCAGGAGGCAGTGGTGGACCTGTCAGTTCTGCATAGCACCTTTCAGGTTAGCAGGCTTTAGAGAGACTATGGTGTGTATACCTGCGATCTCAGTATTCAGAAGTTCCACAGGCCAGACAAGCCTGGTCTACAAAAGGGGGGGGGGGGGTTGGGGGGAAAGATCCATTTTCAAGCTGTTGAGGTAGTGCTATCAATTTTTAGTCCTTGTAAATCTTTGACAGTGAGATAAAAATGGGAAAGTTAGACCTGCCCTTGGCGCCTTCTCAGTATCTCAATAACTGATTATCAGTGAGTGCTATGTTGGTCACGACTTGATTTTTCCAAACCTTTAGCTTCATTATAAAGTCCTCTTACATGTGATGGTGGTGAGGCATGATGTTGGAAGAAATGGTCTGTCCATCCATCCTGTGGCACACACACACACACATACACCTTGTCCTGAAACTTACTCTAGACCAGAACTCAAGAGACCCACCCACCTCCCAAGTGCTGGGATTAAAGGCCTGTGCTGCCACTGCCCAGCTTCTCAAAGTTCTTAATACCTTTGATTTGGATTTTCTGGGCTGGTCTTAGCCTCTTGGGCTCAAGAATCCTCCACTGCACACTGTAGACATGAACTGCTGTACTAGAATGACTTGATCTAGTCTCTGGTTTTTGATGCAGGCAGGGTCTCCATTTTCCCGACACCTGCCTTTCACATGGGTGCTGGGGAGATGCATTGGGTACAAGTTTTGAGCTGGCATGGTTGTAGCATTTGTGTCCACCATGTATGATACGTTTGCTCTTAAGTCATGAGTGAACTTTGTCTATTGAACACAAAAAGCCACTCGTTGGCATAAAGAGGATGGGATTGAAGCAGAAGGCCTTGAAGGCAAAGAGGTATGTCTGTAGTGTGAAGTGGTTGCAAGTTGGACACAGTCTCATGTAGCCTGGGATGGCCTCAGTTCACTGTAGTGGAGGGTGGTGGCCTTGAATTTCTGATCTTCCTTGGTTGGGATCATAGGCCTGTGTCATCTAAGCACCAGATCCACAAGAGAGGTGGGTTCAAGTTGGTCTTTTTATAAACTTGACCCATGTTTGTTCCTTTTGTGACTAAGTGAAACTAAAAAGTACACGGGTGCTGAACATCACCCATCATGACTACAAATCAAGCCAAAAACCATACTTTGTTTTGTCAACACAGGCTCTCACTGGGTAGATGAGCCTGGCCTTGAACTCAGGGATGCGATGGGATTAGAGACATGCATCATCATACCCAGTGAAATGATACTAGTGTTTCCTAGTGGCAACCACTTACGCCAAAGTGGTTTCATTGTATTTAGTACCTCCAGCCAAACTTCATCTTGTTATCAGTGATAAACTCCACTTGGGTGTTGGTAGTGAAAGAAAATAAAATAGCAGTTGGGATTTCTCCCCCGCCCCCTTGGTTTGAGACAGGGTTCCTCTGTGTAGCCCTGGCTGTCCCCGAACTCTGTAGACCAGGCTGGCCTCGACTCAGATTTCTCTGCCTCTGCCTCCAGAGTTTGGGGGATTAAAGGTATGCGCCCAGCTAGGATTATTTACTATTGACAAATTAGTGTTGGGTAGATTTAAGATATAGTTCTCTAGTGGTCAGGAATACTCTGAATTCTGTTACGTGTAACTTTTTTTTTTTTGCTTGTGGATGTAAATATGTATACAATTAGAACATTTCTGTATGCCCAGGTATAGATTATTTGGTCTGGTAACAAACTAGTGTATAAACTGAAAGGATTTTTTTTCTCCCTTTTACTTTAGAATATAGTACTTGTAGAGCCTGTCATGGAGCAGGATGTCTTTCATACACGTATATATAATTTGATCTTGGACAACCTATTACGCTTATGTTCTTCCCATATTCCCAAACAGTCCTCTTTAATGTCCCTTTATGCATGTCACTCACTCACTTACTGGAGTATTTCCAGGCATCTTCCTCCTAGCTGCCATTAACTTCCTAGAGCAATAGTTCTCAACCTGTGAGTCATGGCCTTTTTTTTGGGGGGGGGGGGTACCTAAAACCATCGGGAAATTTCCTGTTGTCTTCGGAACTGTGACACTTCTGTCACCCCCAGGTGGGTCCACCCACATCTATGTCAAGTTGACTGAGCTCTTAGCCCTGGAGGTAGCTTCAAACCTTTCAGGATTACCCATCCAGCTTGTCGTTTACTGCCTCTATAGCTCTTATTTCCTTAGTCACCATGAGAGCTGGACACTCATTTTTTTCTCTGTTGCCCAGCACAGAGCTAAGCAGTCAGGGCTCTGCAGGTAATTGAGAACTTGTCTTCCTACTTTTGTTAGGGTGCAAGTCCTTACCCCAGGACCTCAGTATGTGGCCTTACCGGGTCTCAAACATGATGATCAAAGTAAAATAAAATGGTCATTTGAGGGAGTCCTCATCCAATCCAACTGGTGTCCTTTGTTTCAAAACGGATTCTCAGTGGCCCTGGCTGTTCTGAAACTCACTCTATTGCCCAGACTCGCCTCAAACTAGCAGATCCACCTGCCTCTGCCTTTGGAGTGCCGGGGTCCACCACCTGGCTCAACTAGTGTCTTCATTAGAAGCTGGCCAGGCTGGCCTGGAGGAATGGCTCAGCAGCGAAGAGCATGAACTGCTCTTGCAGAGGATCCAAGTTCAGTTCTTGGCACCAATGACAGGCTGCTCAGAAGAGCCTGTAACCTCAGCTTTGGAGGATCTGATGCCTCTTTGGGCACCTGCCCTTACGTGTACGTGTACACACACACACCCTTAAAATAATATTTAAAAAAGGAGTCCAAGACTATCCACAGGTCACCCAACACATGACCAGGTGACAGGTGTTCTAGAACATTCGGAGACAAGAAATACAAGGAAAGGAACAGGAATAGACCTGTTTTCCATCTCTCCTTCCAAGTCCCTCCTTTGTTAGCTTCTCAACCCCCACCCCACCCCCAAAAAACTAGGTGGGAATGGGAAATGAAACCCGGGGCTCCCCATAGAGAACACCCTATAGAAACTCTGGAATAAGATGGAAATTCTAGTTTTCAAGACGGGGGGGGGGGGGGGGGGGGGGGGGGGGTGTCTCTGTGTAGCCCTTGCTGTCCTGGAACTTGCTCTGTAGACCAGGCTGGCCTCAAGAGATCTGCCTGCCTGTGCCACCATGCCTAGCTAGCTTTGGTATTACTAAAGCTATTGTTAGATATTATTTTCATTAGAAAGCCATCCCGTGATCATAGATCGTGTAGAGAAGAACATTAGGAAAAAATAGCAGTGAGGATTTATGTGAGTATGGTTTTGCCTCAATGATTTTGGCAGGAATTGAGAAACCATATTGTGTTATTTGTTACGAAGTTCTATCAACCGAACAAACCAAAACGCGATTTTTGATACCAAGCATTCAAGCTTTGCCGGCAAGGATACCAACTATTATAGAAGCAAAGCTGACGGACTCAAGGCCAGACCTGACACGGGTGGCTAGTACCTCAAACCAAACACAGCAGCTGTTGAAGTTCATATTTGGTGGCACTCAGAATCGCCAGAGCTCTGAAACCTCACAATTTGTGATGAGATGAATGTGTTCCACAGTGGAGTGCAGTTTCTCTATCTAATGACACTGTCCACAGAAGAATGGATGACATGTCTGCTGATACTCGACCATGTAATCCAGGAAATCAAATCTCCATTTTTTAATGTTTAGTATCTAGCCAGATGAATCTACAGATGTTGCAAACTGTTCAGTTACTAGTTTACATGAAGAATATTAATGATGGTGACTTTAAAGATTAGTTTCTTTTTTGCAATCCTTTTGAAACAGCAACTGATGGATGTATTTGACATGGTTCATTTCTGAAAGAGCATAAGATCTCATGGGAAAAGGTTCGTGGGATTTGCACAGATGGTGCTCCAACTACGCTAGCATATC